GTATATGTATATATGATAGCTGGGAAAATGTTGATATATAAAAGAGTGGTTCATAGGCCAATAGCATAACAGTTGAAAGAAAGGGTCGGTCAGTCAGTGGTTCTACAGATACATATAGGCTTAATGTGTCGTGTAAAACCAACAAAAGTGACTTCCCATCCACAACCCTAAACCAACCGCACTTTCTTGTTTCATTTTTCCCCTTTGCCCCTTATATATATATATATATCTTCTTTGGGGAGTTTCTTTCTTGTTGTGCTCGATGACAAACAATTGTGCAGCTGCTGATCTCCTCCCTATCTAGCTAGCTACTGATCATTAACATATTCATCTTAATTTATCCATGGAAGATTCGGGAGCTGCTTCTAGTGACGATGTCAACAAGTCCTGTCCTCGAGGGCACTGGAGACCTGCTGAAGATGAAAAGCTCAGGCAACTTGTGGAACAGTTTGGTGCGCAGAACTGGAATTCTATTGCAGAAAAACTCCAAGGAAGATCAGGTGATTTGATTTGATTTGACTTTTGAAATCTAATCTTTTGTGGGAATTGTTAAATTATGATGTTCAAGCATGCAAAGTGTTGATCATAAGCTGATTCTAACCTAAAAGATTAAATCAGAAAAAGATGTTTCTTCCTCCTTTATAGAGTTGGTGTTGTAATATATATATATATAGAGAGAGAGAGAGAGAGGTTGCTGATTAGTATATTTTTAGATTTCATTTTTTCTGCACTTATTTCTTCTCTAAGCAACTTTTTTTTAATTAATAATAGTATCTCAAGTTTCAATAGCACAGGATACAAACATGATTTATACAGGAGTAAGATACAAACATGATTTATAATTATGTTCTTTGTGATCTTCAATCATGAAACTGATTATAAGCATAAGATTGATCTCTTCGTCTCTTTCCCTTTAATTTACACACCCATGTGGCCTAATTTTGTTACATCTGTGTTTCCAGGTAAGAGCTGCAGATTGAGGTGGTTTAATCAACTTGACCCAAGAATCAATAGAAGGCCATTCACAGAACAAGAAGAAGAAAGGCTCCTTGCCGCTCATCATATCCATGGGAACAAATGGGCATTGATAGCTAGACTATTTCCAGGTAGAACCGATAATGCAGTGAAGAATCATTGGCATGTTATCATGGCAAGAAAGCAAAGAGAACAATCCAAGCTATGCGGAAAGAGAAGTTTTCAAGACGCTTTTAGCGATTCCAAGCTATATTCTCCTGGTTTCACTACTTCAAGGAAATTAGAAAGATGTCAAGAGGCATTTTGCTCGAGAATTGAGTTCGGAGACAGTAGGGCTTTTGAGTTTCAAAACCAAAGTAAAGATAGGATTTTCTCAGTCTCATCCACATCAACTACCTCTTCACCATCTTGGAATTTTGCTTCATCGACAATGGTGGCTTCAAATAATTCATCTTCAGGCGCCCAGTTATCATTAAAAGACGGAAAGAACCATTTGCTGCCTTCTGGTTCAAGTTATTACTCCATGGACAGTTCAAAGCTTTTAGATCATCAATCTCTTTATAAATATCATTCAAATGCATATTGTAGCAGCTTCAGAAATTCCAGTGCATTTGGGTTTCAAAACTACAGGAGGGTCATTCCAAGTCCTTTTGGCTACCTCAAACTTGGTGCTAATTCCGAAAGCAATAATGGTGGGATGATGAAGGAGTTGTTGAGCAAAAACGAAAATGCACCCAATACTACAAATGATTCCCAGCAGGAGCAAGAAGATGAAGCAGACAAAACAATGGGTGTTCCTTTCATAGATTTTCTTGGTGTTGGTATTTCTTCTTGATCATCACAAAAAACCCATCTTATTTAACTATTTTTCCTAATATAAATAGCAGTTCTAGCTGTGCTTTCCTGTGCATCATTATGATCACGCATGTTCATAATCAACATGCAAAAGTTAAGCAGAAAAGACAATGTTAGCTTTTTAGCAGTTAGGAGGAAAAAAAAACATTTTGCTTCAGTTTCCAAGATTTTTTTAATAAGGTATATGTGCAAGTTTCAGACATTTTGCTGCATTCAATTTAATGTATTGAATTGCTAAAAACAGTAACCATTAGCTTTTTTTGTTCCACAATTGACCTGTATGAAGTATTTCAAGGGAAAAAATACAGTGCAGTATAGGTTTTCCTCAAAGTGGAAAGGCGATGGTGGGAATATGTGAATCAATATAAATGCAACTCCAGCTATATACTTATAAATACACATCTAAAATTTTCTAAATTCTAACCTAAACAGCTGGTTGCAGTTGCATCCTTACATTATCAATGTAAGCTGAAAAGGAAAATCATCAGCTTTTCAATACTGTTGTTAGAAGTAAAGCTTTCGTAGGGAACCATCATGAGTAACTGATGTAATAGTAGACAAGGGTAAAAAATCATTTCTGTTGGAAGTTCCTTTCAAGATATTCATACACTGCTTGTTTTAATGGACATCCTTTGGAGTTTGAAGCAATGGGTTGATGATAATAGCTAAAGAAAAGGGGAATATTCAGCACAGCTATTATAGTGTTGCTCCATTATCATATGTGTGTGTGTATATAAATATTCTTGTACATGTAGCTGGGGGTCGATTGAAGGTGACACGTAGAGGTGCACAAAAAATCCGAATATTCGATTTTACGTAAAAAATATCCGAAATCGGATTTGGGAAAAACCGGTTTTTTTTAAACCGGATCGGATATTTTAAAACCGGATAGTATAACCGGTTTGGGAAAAAATTGGACGACCGGATTTTTTACCGGATTAAAAACCGGTTTGAAAAAAATCTGGTCTGGGGTTTAAAAATCCGGTCCAAGGTTTAAAAAATTGGATGACCGGATTTTTTACCGGATTAAAAACCGGTTTTTTTAAAAAACTGGTTTTTTTCAAACCGAAACCGGTTATACCGGTTACATCATCCGGCCCTCCAAACCGGTTATGATTCGAACCGATTTTTTTATAAACCGGTTTTTTGGCTTAGTAAAAAAACCGAATCGGTTTTTATCCGATCCAGATCAGATTTAAATCCGGCTATGTGCATCTCTAGTGACACGCATCAACATCACCTGGCCAGCTATTTAGATGTATGAAACTGGGGTCAAACTATTATAACTAGCAGTATTTACCATAGAAAAATGTTAAAAAATAGGATCAATGTCACAAGATTTTTCTTAAGGTTGAGACATGTGATGGTAAAATATAAGTTGGGATGATGGTAGGTAGTTTATATATATATATATTTTTATTTGAGTGATAGTCACAAATAATGATTTTTTTATAAGAGTAGTAAATTGAATACGATAAATAGTATTAGAGTGACAGAGAGAGAAAAAAAAAGATTGCATAGAGGTTTATATAACAATCTTGTGTGTGTGTGTGAGATCTGAGATTATAGTTGTTATTTGTAGGTTGACGAAGTGAGTTTAACACCTGATCATCACACAACATATATTGTCGTTGATCGGAATGACAATGAAAAATATATAAAATGTTGTGTGGTTATAAATTATTAACCACGCAACATATATTGGGTGGTTATAAATCTATCCTTTGAGAAGATTTGAACAAAAAATCTGCTTCTATAAATTATTAATTAGGCTTATATCTTACAAAAACCTATTGTTTAATTAATGTTGTGTGGTTATAAGTTTTGAGAAGAAATGCACAAGAAATATATATATATATATATAAAATACCTAGGCCCATTATTCTTTATCTTTCATCAGTGTCCTCGTTGATTTAAATGCTTCTAAACTTAAACATGAAGAGTTTAAGCTTTATTATTTTCTCCATATAAAAACAAACCAACAAAGAGAATAACATATTTAGTAAAACTCATAACAAAATGAAGTAATTTGATATAAAATGTAGTAAATTGTTTAACCTAAAAAATAAGAAAAATAAAATTACAATATATATATTATTAAAACATTCAGCAGATTTTTTAATTTACTAGTAATATTATGCCATTCATAAAACTATTTACAAAATATTCTTTAAGAACATGTAAGGAATCTTGTAATTTTGTAAGAATAATATGTACTTTAAACATAAAAATTTATTAACCTAAAATAACATAATCTTGTAACAGCCTATTCTCATATATTTAGTAAACATTAAAAAAAAAACCTTTTGAAACAAATAAAAGACTTGATTTTAATTGGTTTTATGTGGTGGAATTTAAACTTTAAATTAGAAAAAGTATTTTAGGAATTATTTTCATTATGTCATTCGTTATTCTTTCCTAAGGGTAAATTATTGAAATTGTCATTTATATTTTATATTTCTATACTTTTGCACATCAAATTCAAAAAACTTCAGTTTTAATCACTTGTGTTAGTAGGATGTTAAATGTTATTAGTTGGTGATGTGGCACAGTAGTTAAAGTGTTTAATTTTTATTTTGATCCTTAAACTTTTGATAAAATACTAATCGTGAACTTTTTTGTGAACCTAAAATGGATCAGGGAAAAAGTTTACTCTTTTTAACATATTTTTTTCCTCAAAACCTAAATTCCATTCCCTTTTACGCCAGAAAACTCTGACGACGTTTTGGTCATTGTGAAAAGTTGAAACGTCGAACAAGACACGAGTCTATATGTAGGGGCAACTTTGTCATTAACTTGCTGGAAATTGTAGGTAAAAGAAGCAGAATAGAAGAGATTGAAGTAGTAGAAGAGAAATTGGAGAAGGTCTCATTCATAAAATTTACAAGTCATTTTGACACCTGTTTGCTTATATATCTCTTAATCAAAGGACTAAGCCAATTATATTTAGGCTTATTTTATAATAAATACTTAAATTATACTCTCTTTTTATCTAAGTACTTAAAAATATTTTTTTGATCAAAGAAAATATCTAAACTTATCTCTTTGGTCAAAATAGGTACCTAAAGTATTCAATTTTTTAATCTACGTTAAAAAAAATAGTTGACATGTGATATTAATTAAAGAATACTTTAGGTGCCTATTTTGGCCAAAAAGATAAGCTTAGATACTTATTTTGACAAAAAATACTTGGCTACTTTCTTGTTCCGGACCTTTGCAGCAATCAGCTGTCCATCTTTAAGCTTACCTTTATATACACGACCGTATCCGCCTTCTCCTAGCAAGTTCTCCTCCGAAAAGTAGTCTGTGGCTTGTTGTATCTCATGATAAGTGAATGTCATAGAATCTTGGATATACAATTCAGTCTTTAGTCCACAAGCAACACAAAGAAGAGGTGTTCCTGAGTTTTTATTGTGGAAATAACTTCTTCTCTGCCTTTGGATAATAGTTAAACTAGTAGGTAGCTTATGTTCTCCTTCTGCATTTGTATCTGAAAGAAAACTACAATATAATAGTATAATGCTTGTTGATGCTGAATAGCCGCAAGCCTTCAGAATAGCGTACCACGTCTGTTTTCGGTTGAAATCGGGGTCCAGGAGTAGCTCCTACAAGAGATTTCTAACTGGTCGATGTTTTCACCGACATTAAGGTTCGATAGGGGCACAGGCTTGGACATGGAATAAAAATGCTTGTTCCCTGCCACCTCTATTACATTTACAGTATGGTTTCTCAAAACTTCCACATTCAAGCTATCATGAACTAATGCAACCTTGCACGGTATCTGCTTAATATATAGCTTCAAGTCCCGTCGAAGCTGCCTATTAAGATTGTAAGCCATGGTGAAAGTAACACAGAAATGATGATCCCATGTATCCATAATACAAAATATATACCTATCAAGCACAACCCATGCTGCATTAGAGGAGATCACTTCTTGTACTATAACTTTCTTTATGGGAAAACCAGCTGTGATTTTAACTTCTATGCCTACCTATACATGAAAATTGATATGCTATATTACCAACATAAAGCACTACGAAATAAGTGGTGGCTCAGAATTCAGAAATTTTACTCCTAGGCCTTCACAATCTTCTGCACTTTGTTGAAGCATATTAACATATGCATCAAACTTCTTTGAGATTTCTTCCTCCATGGCGCGGATGCTTATTACCCCGAATGATTCGGGACATGCTTTGCTCTGGTAACCCACTACACCAGCTCCGAGAAGGAACAGAAGACAAGGGAACATAAAGGCAACATGTGAATTAACATGTTGAATGAATGAAAAATTATTTAAGACTTGCACTTACTAGGGTGGGTGACTGTGCAGAACTCCAAGCATAAGAAGGGTGTTCCTGATTCGTAAAATGTCACCTCTTACTCCTAGATTATTGATGGTAATCGTTTGGATGTCTGCTGATAGTTTCCCTGAGATTTTTCTCTTGTTCCTCAAGGTTTGACAGTGGATGATTCTAGACATCAGTGGACATCTCTGAAAGTGGAGGCTCCTCTGTTTTCTCTGCCACCTTAATTGCTTCCAATAACTGCACCAAATTTCTTCTAACGCATTAGAAATATGAAGCAAAAAAATGCAAATTCTGGCGATCATAACCGATTAATGTAATGATCGCCTGTTTCGGAGCTGAGTTTCTTGTTGTTCACTCCACCAGCCACAAGTTTGAACCCAATTTCTAAATCTGTTTACAGGGTTCCTGGCATTTTTCCAGTAAACAATTTCTAATGATCTTAAATTTCGTAGTTACATTATTCTGCTACCAACCGTCATTTAAATTTCTAACGAGATTCTATTTTAACAATAGATCCCTACTTAAGTCTATGATTCAGATATCTTCGATTCCAACGGTTCAAAGCCGATGATACAGCAGAACTTGGGTTAACGCCGACAACGTCCCAGAAGAGCCCTTGGTTGGTACAATTTCTAACGTCATTGAAATTAATAAGAAGTTAAGAACAAAAGGTTTCTCTTTTTCCATTTTCCTTCTTTCGAGTGTATAATCGAAGAGAAATAAATGTGAAAAAGAACGTAATTAGATTGACATAGGGAGATTAAAAAAGTTTTCTCAACACGTGGCCATAAGGTGGGAGATTAGATATGGTGAACAGAACAGTCGGGCATTGTTCCCGTTTTCACTAGGATTCATCGTTTATCAGTTTTACTTAAAATGAAACATATCTTATGTACTTTTAAAAAAAGTCATAGAATATAAATAAATATTGAATAAAATATCAATTTTATTCGAACAATCCTCAGGAGTACATTTCAAATTTTTGGAGGTCTTTCAAATATTAATCGAACATCAAGAATTAAAATATTAAACAAACACTTATATTTAAAATATAATACATAAAAAATGCTACCTTAAACACTATTTCACCTAAATTTTAGGGGGAAATGTATTTAATATACATGGATAGACAAATAAAAAATAAAAAATAAAAATGATTAAAAGCATAGGAGACGTTTAATACACATGGAAAATATTCAATATTCATAAAAGATACAATAAAGAAAAGGAATATATACATTTGATCGAAAATGAATACATACACAAATGACATTTATAAAAATGTACGTTAACTTACATTACATATTTATATTTGTAATTAATGAAACATGCTGGAAAAGTAAACATATATTTATGCACAATTAATGGCAACCAAAACAAATTAATTGCATAATATTTACTTTAAACTAATAATTAATCAAGGACTGAAATGTAAGATTTAAAAAATTGTTAGCCTTAAGTCCAAATGGAAAGAAGTTGACACTTAACCTAAATTTGGGGGTTAAAATAAAAATAGAATTAAACCACATAACTTAAGGTGAAACTCCACAACAAATCAGGGACTAACATACAATAAAACCACAAAACTATCTAAGCATTAAATTCAAACACGGTGACTAAAATATAATCAGAGAAAAATTAAAAGCTCGAATTAAAATAATTAAAAGTTTTTATCGATGACTAAAATAGAAGTATTACAAACAAAGGGACCCTTTACACGTAAATATCCCATAAACCGGCATATAGCACCTCTTCTCCTAAACGACGTTGTTTCGAAGCAGGTATAAAAGCTTCTTTCCTTCCATTTTTTTTATTTTTTCATTTCATTTTTCATTTCTCATTTTTTAAACTTTTCTCTCCCTCTCCCCACTCTCTCATCTCTCCAAAGTCCAATGAAAGAATTCTCGTTGGTCGTCGTGGCTGTTAACGCCGACCATCGGATCTTTGGACCTCAAATCTCACGATGAGCCTCGTATTGATATTAGGATCATGAATCGGATGTCTAATTACCGGAAATGACCTCGAAATGCACGAAATAGCTAAAAAACATTCGACTTCCTTGTATCCGATCTGTATAAAAATGGATGTTTAAACAAATATATATTTTTTACATAAAAATTAATACATAAGAATCACACCTAAGAGACTAATAACTATTGTATACAAGTTTTTTTTATCACTCTATTTATAATTATTTGTTGATATAATATTTATAAATAAAATATTTCGTACATATTTCTAATAACTATTGTATACAAGTTTTTTTTATCACTCTATTTATAATTATTTGTTGATATAATATTTATAAATAAAATATTTCGTACATATTTTTTAAAGTATCTATATCTATAAGATCACTAAATTTCATTTATGAAATACTGTTAAAAAAGAGATTTTGTTATTATAGGGAGAGTGTTAAATTTGAATTAAATTTAATTCTTTAATGATTAAGTTACTCTCTAATTTAATTATTTTAAAGTTACATTAGACTTATATTATTTTATTAAGAATGACAATGTAACAAAGTTTTTGTTGTTGCTGGTAATGTAATAAAGTGTGAGTATGATATTACATAATTATATATATATATATATATCTGCTAATGAACCCATAAAGTTATATATATTAACATATAATAATAATTCAATATTTGGATTTAATTTTAATTCCGCACTACTAAAACTACTAAAGTATCTTATATGTTGGTATAATATATTTAAATTATCGGCTAATAAACCCGAAGGAGGCTTGGGTGGTTTTCGCAAAATTAGTACTCAGAATGAAACCTTTCTCATGAAGCTGGCTTTCAATTTATTGAGAAACAATCTTTAGGTTCGGTTTATCCGGGCAAAGTATAAATGCTCCGATGGTGTCCCGGATTCCTTGAGAAATTCTAATTGATCTTTACTTTGGAAAGGGCCCAGTATTATTTGGGATGACGTTCGTGATAATATTGTTTGGAAAATCTGTTCGGACAAAGACGTCGATTTTTGGCAGAACACTTGGATTAATGAAATAGGTCCTTTGATCCACTATGTCAATCCAGCTCTTATTCCTCATCTTAAGTGTATGTCAGTTGCAAGTATGGTGGATCCAATGGGTAATTTTGTACTGGAACTTATTTGAACACCTTCTCCCGCGGGATATTTTGTTACGAGTTGCGGTTACCAAAGGCCCAGTGTCCTCTTCTTCTCCGGATGCCATTGGGTGGCAGATCACACATGATATGTCGTTCTCCATGAAAGCTGCCTACTCTCTCCGTTGTGGCCCATCGGTGCCGCCTTCAAGTGTAGCGTGGAAGGAGATAAATAGCTGCATGGGATTAGCGAAAATTAAGTTTTTATGTGGCTTATTTGTTGGAACAAAGTGATGACAAATGATGAATGTGTTCGAAGGCATTTCGTTACGGATAGAAGCTGCCGGACTTGTGGGGCTGTTGTTGAAGATATCAGTCATGTTCTTCCACGATGTTCGTCTGCCATGATGGTTTGGAAGAGTTTAATTAGAGCCGATAAGTTGGATGAGTTTTTATCCCTTAATATTACTGAGTGGATGGTGATAAACCTGAAGGATGCAACCCGGTTTGCCATTCACAACAGTGACTAGGATCTTTTATTTGGTGCCATCATTTGGAACCTTTGATTGGACAGAAACGCTAAAGTGTTCGATTCAACGAGTGCTCGTTATGGCAGTGTTCTTGACGGAGCAAAACACTTAGTTAATTTATCCATTCAGGCGTTGGAAGAAAACCGACAGAGTGTGCAGGCAAAACCGGATGTGGTCAATAGTTCTTCTCATTGGTCCCCCCACCAGATCATTGGATCGAAGTAAATACTGATGGTGCTCGTCGGGAGATTGATGGGATCACTTCGTCTGGCGGTGTCGCTCGTGTATCAGCTGGTTGCTGGAAGTTTGGGTACAGCAAGTTCATCGGTGCATGTTCGGTTATCCGTGCAGAGCTATGGGGTGCTTTGATCGGCCTTGAACTAGCATGGGAGGCTGGTTTTCGACAGGTCGTGCTGGAAGTAGACAGTCTCGAAGCGTTCCGTTTTCTTCGTAATGACTATGACGGACATCATTTTCTGTTTGGTCAATATTTTGCTCTCCGCCATCGTCAATGGACCGGGAATTACATTCAACATATGCGTAGAGAAGGTAATAAAATTGTCGATACTTTAGCAAAAAGTACTAATTTGAATAAGCTTGAATCAACCATTTTCGAGACCCCGTCTACGCTGCTTTTGCTTCTCCCCCATGCTGATTTCATAGATCCTTGTTGAAGACCGTAGCAAGGCTGCTATGGTGGGTCTGGTGTTGTACCAGGTTGTTTTCTTGGACCAGTGTTTTTTATGTATTATTATATGAACACTTTTCTTCCGACTAACCTTAGAGGGGTTTAATAAGGCATATAATAATATTTTTGTGTATGTTTCACTAACGAATGCATTATGCACACCTTTTACCCAAAAAAAAAAACTACTAAAGCATCTCTCTTTTAATTGTATACATTTTAAATATAATTTTTTAAACTTAATAACATTTTAGCTAATTTTTATACATTTGGATTATATTATTTTATTTTCAAAAGAAAAAATATACGCATAAACACATTTTATATTTGATTGCTACGGTAACAGGTTTCATTCACAGTTCTCATTAGATCAACTGATTGTTGGTTAATTTAAATATAATTAAAGTCAAAATTTTATGTATATGATTAGATTAAATTTAAATTTTTATCTGTATATATATCACAATTAAAATAATATATATCATATTATATATTTAATTAACATTGATATATAAATTTAAGATGTATTTTTATTATATTTGTACCGTTTGTTTCCATCAACTTCCAATGAAGCACCAGTAGTCTAGTTGGAGAATAGTACCATGCCACGATACAACAAAAAATAATTTGTTTAAACTTAAAGATTCTTAGACGAGTACAACAAAAATGATAGGAAAACATAACCCGAAGCCCTCCAAAAGAAAATCTTTAATTTAATGGCTCGACATTTACTGACTGTGTTTTGGGTGTCCGACCATTATTTATTAAGATTATTTTTTTAACATATATGCATTTATTATCATAATTAACACTAATAATAGTTTTGAAATATGAAAACGATGACTAAAAAACCATTTTTATTAGTTAAACTTAAGAATTATCTCCTTCGATATATATTTTGAGTTTTTTAAACATTGATATGAATTATTAATGTCATAAATCTTGTTAAATGATTATGCATCTAAATTGTATTTTATTTTTTCACAACTCAATATACTTTAATAGTTAAAGGTTTAGGGGTACACCAAATACTACAAAAAAATATTAAATTTTCGCTATTAAATAATTAATTTTTTACAACATATATATTTTGTCTTTTAAACCTGTTATTAAAATATATATAATTGTGAAACACCAAAAATGTCATATGCTAAAATAAAAAATGCTAGAAAATATTATTTTTAACTACTTTTTGTGGCAATCAAAATTGTTGACCCGAGCACGAATTAAGTGGCTTCCGTAGTTAACAAAAGTTGTTATTGTTTCTAAAGACTCAGGTTTGAGAAACATAGATGTCAAGAGTTGAGCGTTCAATGTCTAGAGGTTGAGAGTTATCTTTGAACAAATATTGTCTCGTACTTACTCAGATTAATAAAAAAAATTGTTTGACCCAAACAAAACAAAAAAATTACGTGAATTTTAATTTATTTTTCTTTAGATACAAACAAAAAAAGTGATTTATTTAAGCTAATATTCTTCTAAAACATAGATTAATAAACAAGATTACTATTTTTTTAGTATAATTGTTTGGTCACCCAAACCATCATCACAGGCTGTCATAAATCATTTTTTTTAGGTAAAAAATATAAAACCATAGAAAATTCAGCCTAAGCCTAACTCCATTATTCTTTTTCTTTTTCCCCAAATTTGAAATTAAAAAAGAAAAATTGATTACATTGATTAATGACTACCCAATGGCTGACGCAAAAGCCAGACTTTAAAAAGGAAAAAAATATAAATAAACAAAGCCTTGAAAACAAATGCAAAGGTCTTCACCGACGTCCAACAGAAAGCGCAGACAAGATTAAGCATACTACAAAGACAATCTCTTTCCTTCTCCTTCTTCTTTCTATTTTGTTAGGAAAAGTCCTCAATCCTAAACCCTTGAAGATTTCTTTATTCTTTTGTTGTTTTCTTTTCTTGGGGGGGGGGGCGCGAAGGGGGTTTTATTAGTTTGATCACTTGGTGCAAGGTAATGTTATTCACCATTACTATTTTACTGCAATTACTATCAAGCTTATTGATCTCCTTTCTGGGGTTTTGATTACCGTCCTGGGTTTTAATTTTTTATCTCTGAGTGCGGCGTTTAAGGATACATGGGTAATTTTGGAGATTGACTTTTTGGTACCCTATAATCTGTTATTATTAGCATCTTAAGCGGAGTAGCTATAATTTATTTTAATTGCGAAATTGGGTTTATTGATGTCATGCTCTAGAGCTGATTTGATGAGCGTTTACCTGTCAATGTCTCTGATCTTGTATTATTTTAGTTAGACTCATAATTCCTTTTCCTATCAAATTCATGATATTTCAGGTTTTATGATTGTTTATACAATAAACAGGGACTCATAACTTTATAAGAGAGGCTGATAACATGGCTCATAGCGCGGCATCATGTGCTGAGAGGGCAACCAATGATATGCTGCTCGGTCCAGATTGGGCTCTAAACATTGAGCTATGCGACATTATAAACATGGATCCAGGGTATATCATTCTTTCTATTTGTGTCTGGTTACCTTTTTGCTTACTTTTCTAATTCCCGTTCTCTAATGCATTCTAGTACCTATTATTGTTATTTTTTAATTGTTGTTTGATTTACTCGGAAGCACAAGTATTTCTACCTATGGTAAATATGAATTCTGCAATGTGGGTACTTTAAGAATTCTCAAATTTGTAAGCCTTGTTTTCCGAATCTCTATTTAAATTGTTTTAGGCAAAATCTGTGAGACTGTGACCCCATCCGCCTTTGAATGGTATAATATATCTTTAGATGAGACACTTCGCTGTGATTCAGTTGTTCTTCATTAGGAAAGAGGTGGAGTTCTGATGGAGATTGCTTGGTTAACTTGATTTACTCCGCCACTGATGTAGATAAGAACTAGGCTTTCCAAATTTGGTGAAAAGGTAGGTTGGCTCTATAACTAGAGGCAAGTTGTCATGACTTGATTTTTCCAAGAGTTTTAAAGGGAGAGATGGTTGAAGGGGAAAAATTGTATATTTCAAGTATGGTGCACTATGGATCTTGTAGGAGAAGAGAAATAGAAATTTTATGCTAGATTTATATACCATGAGTGAGGAGTGGAAGGAGAGAATTTTCTGAATCTTGGATGTGCTGTTGCATTGAAAAAGGAAGAGTTTTAAAGCACATGCATGATGCATGTACTCTACTCCTGGATTCCTTTTAGTTTGTTTGATTAAGTGAAAATTTTGAAATGTCTGTGTGTGAAATATTATGACAGACAGTTACACTTGACTCGATATAATTCAGGATGCTACAGCCCTGCTATTCTGAATTTTCTTGGAAGTATATTGTTTGGTATATATGCCTATGTGGCACTATTAACTTCTCATTCTTTCCTCTAATATATATATATATATATATAACTGGGTAGTTTCATGGGGCTGTACTTATCCCTTTTATTATGAATGCATTGAAGGATTTGAAGTCTGAACATGGGTGAAAAATGTTTGAATTAGAAGAAAGATATGGTCTGATGATATGGAATACAAGGTGTACATTAGATTCATCTATTTAATTGTCTGAAGTATGAATTTGTGTTCCAAGGTTCCAATAGACCAGAAGCACCATCTGTTATGAAAGTTGCACGGTTTCCGCATTCCCATGATTTGATTTAATTCATTGCTTGCTTTGTTATAACTTCCTAGCCTCTTATTCACACTCTATGATGCATGGTGGGCCCTAGCTTATTTGATTTTCATTCTTCATTTCTCTAATGCAGGCAGGCTAAGGATGCGTTGAAAATCCTCAAGAAGCGGTTGGGCAGTAAAAATCCAAAAATACAGCTACTAGCTCTTTTTGTGAGTTACATGTTTCTCCCCATGTTCATATTTCATACATACATATTGCCTTTTTAAAAGTATTTTACTTGAAATCTACTTTAATGGTCTAATAACATATATAAGTTGGTTCTTAGCAATTTACTTTAATCATATCTCAAGTAACTATTAATTTAGTACTACCCCTCCCCCAAACACCCCAGTGGTGCATGATGATAATGTGGTAATAAGATATCATATATCTCATATCTTGGTTCAGGTACTGGATTCTCTCAGCAAAAATTGTGGTGAGCATGTTTTTCAGCAGATTGTTGAGCGTGATATCTTGCGTGAAATGGTTAAAATAGTAAAGAAAAAGGTGACTTATTTTCCTATAAACTTTGATGATTTTTTCTTGATAGCCCTTTCTGGAACTTACTACTTGTACTCTTCCTTCTGGTTTATTGTGCAGCCTGACTTGAATGTTAGGGAAAAGATACTTATTTTGATAGACGCGTGGCAAGAAGCCTTTGGAGGATCTAGTGGAAAGTATCCTCAATATTTTGCTGCATATAATGAGCTACGGGTAAATGTTCTATTATTCCTTAGGTGATCTAGTGGAAAGTTTCATCATTACTTATGTTTGTATAATCCTGGCCTTTTCCATTGATTACAATCGCCATCTTTTCCCCTTTTCTTCTATGGTTGCTTGGAGCAATTTTGGTAATGTAAATGTGTATATTGATTTCTTAGGCCTTTCAGTACTAAAATTCATATTTTGCATTTGCTGGTTTGAAAAAGTCAAAACATTCTGCCCTGGTGTTCTCTCAAGTATATCTATCCATATCTGTTTCTTGAAGTTCTCTTTTTTGGTATTTATCAGGCTGCTGGAGTTGAATTTCCTCCTCGAGAAGAGAACACTGTACCATTTTTTACACCACCTCAAACTCATCCCATAACTCATCACCCTGCTTCAGAATATGATGCTGCTGCTATTGAGGCCTCTCTACAATCCGATGCTTCTGTCCTCAGGTACTAAATTTGCTAAAGATGCTATTTTCTAGTTGTGGACCTCATAGTTTTTCTTACACACATGCTTTTTACAGGACAAGGATTGTGAAAATATTGCTCCAATGAATTACTTTAGGATTTTTGCTTCTTAGTTCAAAAGTCAATTAGATTCAGAAAAAAAAAGATTTGTTTTAGGTGTCTGCAAAATCATAACTCTTTGTTCAGAATTAAATTGAAAATTATCTAATAATGAATAAATAGTCAATCTTCATGTGTGGTACCGTATGTTAAATTTTAATCTTCATAATTTGCATTGCTAGTTATGTGTGAATTTATTTTCTTTAATAACTCAAACTGGTGCAGGGCATTTTCTGAAAGCTTTTATGTAAATATCAGCCTCTTCATTAATAGTTAAGCTCATTAGTGTATTGTTCCAGATTGTTGGAGTTAGAAAATTACTGGGTTTAATTCACTGGAATGACAAAAAAAAAACACTGCAAAGATAGAGTGCTGCATCTTTCTTCTATCCTGCTTCTTTCTTCTATCTGTGCTGCTGACATGTAAACTTCCTGCATAGACCTGCATTATTTCTGTTATCATGAAATTGTAGTTTAACCTTGTGCATTTCCAGCTTGCAAGAGATGCAAAATGCTAGTGGGCTAGCAGATGTATTAATGGAAATGCTTAGTGCATTGGATCCAAATACTCCTGAGGTAAAAACATTGCCCTGAAAGGCATCATTATGCTTGTCACATGGTCTATGCTGCTCTAATATTCTTATTATCTGATTGCTGATAAACATAGTGCTTTCCTTCTTCTTTGTTTTTGTATTTAGTTCAGGGGGAGATTATTTCTCTAAAAGTTATTCTGTCTTATTATATGGGATTGACTTCATTAATCCATTTTTCCTGTTTCACTTCGAGCAATGTGCTTTCTTAATTCTGTTGCTGCAGTACTGTTTTTGTTTGGTTCTTCCCACTTTTTCTGCCTTTCATTATGATTAGTTCCTCAAGTTCAATTGAATCCGAGTTATCCACGCTTTCTTGTAAAGTGGTTTTATTCCTCATCTACTTAATCGTTGAGTTTCTATGGTCTTATATTCAAGCCGCATTTGCGTAGAACAAATTGTTTTTAAGATGGATGTATGTGCTGTCTGAGCTCAGGTGTGTTATGTTGTTCCTGCCTATCCTTGTTTAGCTACATGTTTGGGGGAGCGTTAAGTGGTGTTATACCACATATATTAAGTATTGGGTTTTCATGTGGTCCTATATTTAAGTTGGGTTCCACTACACCTGCTGCAGCCTCTTAGATGGGTTCCCTTTGTTTTACTGTATTATGGAACTTATTGGATAATCTCATAAGTTTAGTTCTGGTCTCCTTTTTGCACCTGCGTATTTGTCTCAGTAGGATCATTACTTTTTCTGAGATTCACTGTGTGTTCTTATGTGATAATAGTTTATAACTGAACAATCCTAATGCATGCAAGGTGATTAAATTAATAATACTTATAATCCTGATGCATGTAATAATTAAGTTTTTCCTTGTGTTAAGACCGGTGTGACCAAACGTTGCATTGATGTTATGCAGGCTATGAAGCAAGAAGTCATTGTCGACCTTGTTGATCAATGTCGTTCTTACCAAAAGCGCGTGATGCTTCTTGTTAATAATACCACGTGAGAATCTGTTTGTGTCTTTAGTTTTCTCTCGTGTTAGAATAATGCTGATGATTGCTTTTGCATTTTCAGAGATGAGGAACTTCTGTTTCAGGGATTAACACTAAATGACAGCTTGCAGCGTGTTCTTTCCCAGCATGATGACATTCTGAAAGGAAATACTGTTCCAACAGGAGCAGTAGCAGAAACTCCTGTTGTGCCGTTTGTTAATATCAACCATGAGGATGATGAGTCAGAAGATGAATTTGCTCAGCTATCTCATAGGTGAATTTATTGTGTTATTCTTCCTCACTCCATTCTCTGTTTGCTTTTTAACATATCTCTGCTAATTTACTGTAAATTTTTTCTAGTGCAGCAGACTAGCCTTGCGCTTTGAAAACATGAAAAACACAAAAGAAATTTTCTACCAGTTGAAATTCATCTTTTAGCACATGAAAATGAACTATGAACACTTAAACCATATTGTGTTCATGTGTTGCAATCATCTGCAATGAATTTTTAGCCTTGCACGAATTTCTACTAGTTGAATTCATCTACTTAGCACATGTAAATGAACTATGGACATTTAATCATATTGTGTTCGTGTGTTGCATTCCCTGATATTCATTGGATTTTTGTTTTCATGGGAGGAATGTTTTTATTTATAAATGAACTATGGGGGCCTAACCGTATTGTATGGATGAAAGTGTAGCAGCTTTGTCTTGTCTATTTATTCTCTAAAATGAATCCGCCTTGTTAAACATGAATAAAGACTGCTTTGAATGTAGGTTTTCAAGATTTGAGTATCAGGTCATTGATTATTGACAAGGCTCCTTATTTCTTGTCTGTGCCATTTTTTTGCTTTTGATTTAAATTTAATGTCCCTTATTTCAGATCAGCAAGGGATAATTCTCAAGGACAGGGCAGGAGAGCACTTAAAAGTGAGCCTGGTCGAGTTGATCCATTTCTTCCTCCTCCACCCCCGTCAAAAAGTCCGGTTGCTACAAATGCCAGCATGGTTGATTACCTTAGTGGTGATACCTACAAAACTGAGAATTCCCCTGAAGCAAGAGAACTTGCACCTCATTCCGTTCGCACTCGTACACACACCAACCCTCTAGCTCCATCATCACCTCCTTACCATTCTGGTGACTCTGGTTCCTCACCCCTGTTCAACGGACAGCCTGTATACGACAAACCCGCTTCCTTGAGCAACTCCACTGATGCTGAGTTGCTACCTCCAGCACCCTGGGACGCTCCTGCTAAAAACGTTCCACCACCACCTTCAAAGTTTAATCAGAGACAGCAATTCTTTGAGCACAAACATGGTTATCCCGGTGGTTCTTCTAATTCCAGTAACGGGTCTGGTTCCTCGTATGACAGCTTGGTTGGACAAGCTCAAAAATCTCTCCCTTAGCTCGGCGAATCCAACGAAAGAAGTAAAACCAGATGACGCTCTCTTCAAAGACCTGGTTGATTTTGCCAAAGCCAAGTCGTCTTCATCATCCAAGCCCAACAATAACAGGTCATTTTGATCGTCTCCGGTAGCCAGCTTGGTTTTGGATGGTACAGCTCGTGAACAGTTAGTAGATATTATCAGGTTTTGTATTAGATTACGAGGTTTCATGTTATTAAATAAACATGCGTTTACACATTGCTTATGGGTTTTCTATGCTGTTTATCGGTTCCGTTTGAGACAAACTGCTGGTTGGATATATTAATATATTTTGCATATAATCAATACTCGGTGTATCATTTCGTCAGTTTGATCTTGCAAGCGATTTTCATACTTTGATGTTGGTGTGCAGCTTGTGTTTTTCGTTCTCTTTTCTTTGCTCGAGAATGAATGGAATGGAGAATCGGTGTTCTTTTTACCAAATATTACCGTTTTAAAAATTAATTTTTAAAATTGATTATTTAGTTGATTATGTCTGCAATTATAAACCCATTGAAGTGCCAAAACTAGTATTAACAATAAAATCCAACAGATTTTTTTTATGGTGAAAACCAATAGATTACTCCAATTATATGTGAAAACAACTAGAGATGGTCTTTTGGAGCCAATTTGTTATACAAACACATTAAGTAGGCTAATAAGATTACATGTGAGAAGAGAAGAGAACATATATGAAGACCAGCAGACAACAGACAACAACAGATTTAGCGTCCCTTGCTTATTTTATAACCAAAAGTAAAAGAAGGAAAATCATGGTGCTCCGTAGATTTCGAACGGGACTTGGTTTTTTAAGCTATCAGGCTCCATAGAGATGGTAGTTGAGTCAATGACACTGTCATACGCATCAAGCAAGTGTTTAGTCTCTCTTCCTCGTGTAAGTTGCGTTTTCCCCATGAATGTTTCTCCATAGCCAGCAGTCCTTGTAATTCAGACACAACTTCCTTCATACTTGGCCTTTCCTCTCCCTTCAGTCTCTCGCATCTCCTAGCTATAGTTGCCGCTTCCTCAAGTTGCTCAATTTTGTCATCGTTCACCATTCGTCCATCAAGAATTTCTACCAACCCTTCCTTTTTCATAACAGAAACGAAGTACAGACAAATTCCTCTCAGGCTCAGATCTTTCGAAACAAATCGCTTCCAAACCTGTTAGTAATTCTATGAGAACAACCCCAAAGCTATAAACATCACTCTTCTCTGTCAGTTGGCTCGTTTGAAAGTATTCAGGATCCAAGTATCCCAGTGTTCCCTTCACAAGCGTTGTTATCTGTTCTTTATTCGAAGGGACCAATCTCGAAGCACCGAAATCAGATACTTTGGCATTGTAGTTTTCATCTAAAAGGATGTTGGTCAACTTGACATCGCGATGGATGATTGGTGGTGATGCAGAAGAGTGCAAATAGGAAATAGCTTCTGTGGCTTCTATGGCTGTTTTCAAACGGGCTTCCCATGGCATGACCGAGGCATTGTGCAAGTGATGGAAGAGGGTTCCATTTCTTACATATTCATAGACCAGCAATGGGACTCGCGTCTCCAAACAACATCCCAAGAGTTTCACCACGTTTCTATGGTTGATTTGGGATAACACGATGACTTCATTGATGAAGTGTTGGACCTGGCTTTGATTTCCGATAATGGACTTTTTAATGGCGACGTTGCGACCATCGGGCAATGTTCCTTTGTAAACAGTACCCTGACCTCCTTGTCCAAGGATTCTACTTTCGTGGTAATTGTTGGTAGCTTTCTTGAGTTGTTCGACTGTAAAGATTTTAGCTGTTTCGCCCTACTGTGAAAGGTGTTCACGCAACAAGATTCTACCATTTTGCTCAAAGTTTTGGTGTTTCAGTTTGGTGAGCTTTCTTTGCTTGATCCCCAAACACACCCATGAGGAACACAAGAGCGAGGATAGAAGACTTACGCCTATTCCTGTAATTACGAGACAAAAAACATTGTTGACGATTAATAGTTGGGATTTTTGGAAATTTAAGAATTTTTTTAGTAGTCTGGTGTGAAAAAAAAAAACATTGGTACTAACCAAGTGAAACAACAAGGATGGGAAAACTCTCACGGCGCGGCTTGGCTTGAAGACTGCAACCTGTTCCGTTTTTCCAACCATTACCCTCGAACCCTTCGGGGCATGAACAGCTATAGCTTCCAGCTGTATTATGACATGTTGCACTTCCATTGCAAGGCTTTAGTGTCTCGCATTCATCAATATCTACACATCTCCTTATATGATCAATATATATAAACATACATATGTAAAGGAATGATGAATCTGATATATTTACCTTGGCAGCCATTGGAGAGATAAGGGTTACCCTTAAAACCATCAAGACACTTGCATAAATATCCAGGATTTTGCTTGCAAGCATAATTTTGTGCATCCATTTTAGCTTCCGCGCACGTTTGAGTCCCGATTGTCCAATCAAGTATCATCGGGAATTCCTTGTGTCTGAAATCATCACTGTAAAGATCCGAAACAGAGAAGTTATAGGCTCCATCTTCCATGACAAATCCATAGCTGCAAGGATTGAAGTCCAAAATTTTGGAATGATTGTTAGAACTAGCTAATGTTACATGGTAACTCTTCACTCCTTTAGGGATAGCCGTCTGGCAGCATCCGATGCCGGAGCAAGACCCATTAATCACATCGGTGATGTTGTTACAAAACGTTAAACATCCAGTCGAATACGTATCTCCCTCATAATCCCGTACGTAGGCACAGGTATCACAACCAATGGCTGTGAGCTTGTTTCTGGTGTGAGATATGGAGAATTTCACGAGGTCCATCCATATATCGAAATATGAACTATGGCCGGCTGAGTTGTAACAGTCGTAACTTATGGACTCATTGATGCGCAAATAGCCATCCAGAGAGCTGTGGACAACTTCAATTTCACTGGTGGTTAAGAATGCTTTTGGAGGGTTGAAGGTGGTGTTACAACGAATGAAGAAGTTCCTACTGATATTACAATCGGTACTGCCGGTTCCAAATGGGAATGGGATGCTCATATTCCCGCACCTGCTTTGGCACCCTGGTTATGCTCCAGCCGCCACTGAGGTTGCTACAACTGCTAACGTAACTGCAAGCAGACCAAGCTCCTTTAACATACAATGAGTGCCCATGGTGCCCTCTTCTTCTTGTTTCTCCACTCTCTGCCGGATGTATGCAGGATAATTGATTACTAGTTTACAGGAATTGCATGGACCAAGATTCACGGCCAATGAATTTCGAAGCATCAATCACATTAACTAATAAACGTAAATCATACGAAGGTGTAGACCAATGAAGTCGAGTGTCGAAACAAACTTTAAAAAAGTTATATTAAAATTTAGGGTACAAAACTATCACATTCCATGATGCAATATTTAGACAATCGATAAAGAATACTTAAAATTATTTAGGAATTTAAAATTTTCGAAAAATATGATATACTCAACATCCTTCGATGTATCTATCTATAAATAATGATCTTTATTACAATGTAGACTCTTTCCTACAATTTTTTACTACGAATAATGAAGTCACATTCATATAATTAATGTAACCCCATACGACCGTGTAGAATAATGAAGTCATGTTCGAGAGAAATTATTTGATGGATTTAACTCATCACGTTATTCATGATTCTAATTAATAATAATCATAAATTTTAAAATAATTATTCACTTCTTATTTATATGTAAAAAAGATGTGAAAATCTTTTTTTTAAAAATAATATGAACATATATTATTGATTAGACACGTGATAAACTAAAATCATCTAATAATTTCTCCATATTCAACGACACGTGTAATTATAAGTGGGGCTTGAAAAGAGCAGTGGATCAAAGTCTTGGTCGTATAAGTCATTTTTACTTGACTTTTTAGGATAAAGTATATAAATAGTTTTTAAATTTTTAGGATATTTATATTTTGGTCATATAACTTTTAAAACTTATAATACAATTATTAAAATTTTTTGTTCGTTTCCAATAAAGTTCCTACCGTTATCTCTCGTTAGTTTTTACTAATGTGTCACTTAACGTTAGTTTTTGCAAACGTTACACTTAACTATCATTAATTCTTCTTCTTCGAAGACAATACCCTGGGATTAATAATTGCAGCATCGGCTCATGTGGCTAGAAAAACTATTGCTTAACATATTCCACTCCTTCAAAGATGAATGGAGCCCCACTTGTGTTCCATAAATGAACCTTAAATTCCGTATACCAAATGACATTATTATAAATAATTTCCAAGATTTGGCAATTTATATAATTAGATTACATGCATGCGCTCTTCTCTCAAGAACAGATCCTTCTCTTTATCTCTTTTTCACTCCAGAAAACACCATTCGTTCCTTTCTTTTCTGGTTTTTCTTTCTTCTTTCTGTTTTTCTAGCACACGGTTTCTATATTATTGCATTAAGTACATGATTGTGTGTTTTCTTCTCATCATATATATTCCTTGAAATGCAAAAACATTAGGGTCAGGATGTTTATAAGTGTTCGGACTCAATTCAATTCATTATTTATTCATGGAACCCAAGACATAGATGAACCTTTTTAATCTGTATTTTAACTGTAATAAGAAGCACAAAAATGTCACCTTCTGGTTTGTTAGATATCTCAAAAGCATAGCCAAACATTGACTATCGACGTCATAAGGCAGATTCCCAACAAACAATTTAGCTTCCTCATTTGGTTCGACGGCCCCATCGCTTTCTTTATTTTCCTATGTCGATTCTCCTGCTTCATCATCAATGGTTATGGTAGTGTCGTTTTCTTCCCCTTGTTGAGTCCAATCGGATGTCTGGGCCACAAAGGCAACCAAAGAAGGGAAATGGATTTTGGTTTTGAGGGTGGGATGATAGGAAAATGAGAGAATATGGTTGATGAGTTTTGAAGGAAGTGAGAGAAGAGAGGGGACTTTGGAAGAAGCGGTGAAGAGTGAAGGCAAAGAGACAAGGCAAGATGAATCTGCCAAGGACATTGGTTTCATTACAGTGGACATTTTTGGCCAAGGAAAAGAATAAGAAAAAGAAGAATGAGAGTTAACGACAGTTACGGAAGGTAACGTAGGGACCTTACGAAAAACTGATTAAAAGTTTGATGACTATATTACAAGTGTTAGAAGTTGGGTGATCAAAATACAAACTCCCTAAAAGTTTGGAGACTACTTATATACTTTACCCAACTTTCTATTAGGATGGTAATGATAATTTAGTGGAAGTCTTGGTCGTTTGTCTTTCATATAGCTGAGTCAGTTGATTGATCGCCTTTCTATTTCCCTCGAAATATCTC